AAAAAATACGTGTCTAATATTTTTTAATTGTGTAACTAACGGACTGATTAGATTTTTAATTTTGATACCCTGGAAAGTACCCAATTGTAGGCACAACAACCGAAGTTTTGGTACTTTGTGTGTTACAAAGTGCTGGTATATGTCGCGTTATTGTCACTTAAGTAACTCAGTGGTCTCAAAACTATTCAAAGACTGTCCTATTAGGGTACGTCAACGAGGAAAATATGCGCCTACCTACTTCGTGCCCACCCATAATTACTCCCAACTTATCCGTCAGACATTCCTTACATTCGTTTCGCATGTAATAGTAGTCCCCACCCTAATTCTCATACACCCATCTTATTCCAATCGATATAAGGTTCACTTTCGTTCGTATTCTCCTTTTAGATAATTTTGCAATGGTTTAAATCCGCTTTTCTCCAAATGTCTGTGTTCAGACCGCTATCCTATTCTTTTCCATCCTCTTTTATGTTATCCTAAAAGAAAATTAATTAAGTGCTATTGTTCTCTTTGAGTGCCGTTTTGTAGGCATCTGGTGAGTGTTATTGTTACAGTCTCTCGGTATCAAAGTACGTTCATGCTAACTCATTATTTGGAAATGGTACATTTTAATTGGAGCCGTTATTCGAAAAAAAAATGGAAGTAATTTTAAAACTATCACCTTTTTCCTCGAAGATCTGGAGGTGCAAACGGTTAGCAGCAGTTGCAGTGGCTAGGAATAAAATTAGCAAAAATACAGAAATACTATTTAAACTTAACACACCGTCTAAACCAAATAGTACCTACATTAAACGTAAAAAATCAACACCATCCATGAATATAAGCTGATGGATCAACTATAAAACTGGTAGTGGTCGGCCCAAGGGGCTTTATTAATATGGTGGCCCTCGTCAGGAGCGACAGCGAATGACAAGGGTACATTGATTCGTGTCTCAATGCGGCACTTTTTACTGTGCTCGGTTTTCCGAACATACAAATAATACATCAATTGATTTATATAGGCATATCATTTGAGTTTGGTGATATTTTATTTTGTTTGAAATGTGGCTTACTTCAGTCTTCAGGTTTGAAGACGTAAGTATTTTAGAGTGATATATAGATCTATCATTCAGACAATAAACCTTAGGTAGACTTAAGGTTTTTATAATAATTATCGTGAGACATACTAAATTAACTAAAAATCGCGGGTTACTCACGTGAATATGCGATGTCGATGTCGATGATGTCAGTAGACTTCGCGACATCGCCGCGACCGCGCACGCTGCTCATGAGAAAGAACCCCTCTGTGGTTCGAAACTAGTAGAACTTTTCTCAGTATATTCACGTGAGTAACCCGCGATTTTTAGTTATTTAGACCTAAGGTTTATTATCTTATTTGAACATCAAAAAATACCATAATACAATAAACTATATCGCCGAGGGACATTCATTAGCTCAAATCTCGTGAGTTCTCGTATACCGTTCCCGGATAAAAAACCAAGAAACAACAGCAAAAACCTTAGAAAGGCAATTCTACTATTATGCCTAGTACATGACATGCATCATGGCACACATTGACAAACAGTAAATGTGCATTTACTAATAATGTTCACCGATGCTAACGTCTTTCCGCGTCTACGCAAAAGTACAAATAGTTCCTTGTACGTACCAAAGGACCACGAAAATGCTCTTAGAGTCTTTCTTAGAAATCTGTTACATCCACGACAAAGTAACGCAGTAGATTTCCACATTCCGCATACAATACATACTTACATACACTTTGAACTTCAACTAGCCTGTTAGGTAACCTAGGATATATCTTACAACAAGACAAGTATACTTGTCTGTAGGATTCCTGTGTTGAAATCTTTGCCTTGATACTGCGAATCAAGTAAGAAAAAGATTGTGTTGAAGAACTGTTTAGGAACAAGGACAAGGATAGTCTCTTGAAAGAACGACTGTGGCACCTGGCTACTGTAGACTTACATGCAGAATACACACACATTGACACGAAGGACATCTGTCGCGTGCCATGGCCCGTCATTACACTTCATACATTAAGGTACACGCACACATAAATACACCACTGACATTTTGGTGCGTCAATCATTTTCTAACGGTGGATTTTTCCAACGCCAAGAATAACTATGAATAATTAACAATTCCTCCATACTATAAATTGTCAAATGTCAATGTTTTGTTCTTCAGTTAAGATTGAACTAATGTTTGTATTGTAACTTTCGTGAGACATACTAACTAAATTATTATGTTTTCGGCCTACTCACGTAGTAATTCGACCGAGGAACTCGACTAGTTTCAAGCCATGCTAGAGGCTCATATTCATGAGCAGCATAGCAGCACAGTCGCCGCGTCGCGGGTCACGAAATGCTGCAATGATTGGGAAATTGGCCCTGAATGACAATATGTCCGCTTTGTTTGTTTAGGAACACGCCTTGTAATGATAAAGATAGAAGCAATCGAAAACATTTCTATTTTCTACGGCACCAATGGTTTTATATCCCCTTGAAAATGAAAATAAAATATAACATTACGCCTTTTATTCCCCAAAACGTTAGACAGTGGCGCACCCTATCGTGTATTGTAAGAGGGTGGGAGAAATAATCCCGGACCCCGTGCCACTATGCTAATAGTTTTGAAAATACCTTATTAGCACGCTACACAATTTACGATAATCGATAGGAAAACTGTACAGAGTTAACTGGACAGTTGTTCTGTACAGTTAAGTCGTAAGGTGTGTAGGTTATATGGACCTACAATTCAACTGTACAGTTTTACCTTTACGATTAAAAGTGCACAGTTTATAGTAAACGTAATCGTAAAGCCTGTATAACTATGCCTGTCTTTGGAAATGAGCCCGCGACCCTTTGCTGGACTGTCGCACTTGTACTGTGTGTTGTGGCCAATCACTCAATAATTAGGGCAGTCATGAAGATTAACTTCAATAACAATAGAAAACAAAATTCATCTGAGATGAAGTCGGTTGAATTATCTCATCCAATAATGTAGTTTGATGTGATAAAAAAATAGAATAAAAAGGATAGCATCAAAAAATGTCTCATTATAAATTATTTCCAATTCATGCATCACTTCACAGGGTGCTCTGTAGTGGCAAGCAAAACGTCGAAACATGAACAGTGATTTTTTGATATAAGTGTTTGTCAAAAACAAACAATTATAATCTTACTCTGTTTCAAGTCCAGACAAAATCTAAAGCTACAGCTTAAACAAAAACCTGACATTTATATGGTTTCATAAAAAATTGCTGCTGAAAGAATAAGTCCTTATAATTATCTTATATTTATATTCAATATTATCGTTATATTCACTATTTATTTATTCTACATATAATTAATACTGGGCTTTTATCCATGAAGATACGCCAATATTATTAAAAGTTTAATAAATTTATCGCTCAATCACGTCAAAACTGCTGAAGAAAGAAAGAAAGAAAATGCATTTAAGGTTACTGAACAACAACAAAGTAACAATGAAATTTCGAACAAGAATAGATTATAGTCTGGATCACATAGACTAATTTATCCCACGGAAACGCGGGCAGAAGCTAGGTATGAAATTGCTATAATAGGGTAGATGCCTAATTTTTATTTTAATGTCCGTCAGGTAGATTATTTTAAATGATTAGACACGTATTTTTTTATTTTCTTACAGAAACTTCTATATGCATTTTATACATAGAAATGACGTTTTAGCCCCCACTCCTTAACTTTGATTCATTTTATCTAAGTATTGTTTTATTATACGACAAAATAAAAAAATACATGTCTAATATTTTTTTATTACCTAACTTACGGACTAATTAGGTTTTTAATTTTCATACCCTGTCATCATTCCAATTCTACATTATGTCATCACTCATCTTTATATACGTACGCAATATAACGCTAGTTAATAGAATAACTGCCTCATTAGCCTAGTGGTCGCAAGTGCGATTGGCCAGGCAAGGGGTCTCAGGTTCGATTCCCGAGTTGGGCAAAGTATTACTGGGTTTTTTTATTTCAGTAGTAGCACGGAGTCTGGAAATGTGCTCGGTAAATGGCAATGACTCACTCCCTATTACATGGGACTCAAAACATAAATAATGAAAAGTGGGTGTTACATTGTACAGTGGCATTAAGAGCCGTAATGTGCACCTCTGTTATGTTTATATCTAGGAATAATATTTTAGTTATTATGTTAATAAAATGAACCGTTAAAAATTACAAACATTAAATTTCACTTCTTCATCTTTTTGCCTGTCCTTAACTAAATTATTAGTTCAATGTAATATGACTCCTTTTCCCATTTTCTCCTATCTGACATGATCTTATCAACAAACTCAATATTTTAACAAAAATATCATTCTTCAAACAATATTAATTACGCGGTCCATATGCAGCAACCGCTCACGTCACCACTATAGTTACGTGGAATTTGTTCTTCTTACAAACATATTAATATGTTAACTAAAGGCTTTGAGCACCAATAAAAAACTATTGATGACAAATCCTCCGCTAACGTCCGTCACCGGCGACCTTCATGGCGTTTTACGTGTTAACAATTCTGTAAAGTTACAATTTCGAATATGACTACATTCAGTGTTAGGTTCAGAAAAAAAAATATTTAATTTCCAAATTCTTGGCGATAGGTAACTGATGTAATATCAAGAGCATTAAGCCTAGAAGGTTTTAGCCAGTAAATATGTCAGTTTATTTATCTATGGGTATGAAATTACTATGAATCTAACAGGCAAGAAATGAGATCTTATTATCTCATACTTACCATGTAACTAAAGGTACGTTGAAATAATGATGTCATTGCAAGCTACTTGCAATTATATGAAATAAGAATAAACATATTTTGAAGTTGATAGAACGTGTACTGAGAATAACGGTAAATAGCGACAAATCAAAAAAGGACAATGTCATTTCTCATAGTCGCTACAAAAAAAAAATGTAACATTATTGTCTAATACGTATTTTCAATATCACTTGAGTGCTTACCTTACGTTCAAATCCACGTGCAAACACCTCAGATAGCCAATGAACACACACTAAACAAACACTTGAAAGTTAAAATTAACATTCAATTTATGATAAAATGTACTGAAAGCTATCAATAATCAACCAAAATAACACACAATATATGGTTTAAATTGTAATGTTCAAGATGATAAACGAAATTCGGGGTGTGACAATCGTGTCAAGGTCCCCGTTTTTGTTGCTACGGCGTAGACGTCCGCTCCGTAGCGGGTGCCCCGTACGACAGCCTCACGTTGCTACGAGCTACGAGGGGAGATTCGTAGCCAATCGAAGTGAAGCTGCGCAAAATGGGAGTGTGTTCAACTTAGATTTTTGAGATAATTTTACGTAGCACCGAATTAAGCGTTCTATTTTACTTGTTTAATTTTTTTATTGTATTTATTACGTAGTAGTAAGTCATCTTCTGAAATAAAAATTATTTACCTATTTATTTTTATTATTACATTTTTCAGCTAACTAACTACGACAACTAACGAACTCGATTGGTATTTGTCATGACAGTTATAATACAATCATTTATTTTGTTCTTATTTATCTACATCTAGGAATATTCGGACTACCTCGTTGGCACGGTGTATGGAAATGTGCCCGGTATATGGCAATAGGCTCACCCTCTATTGTATGGGACTCATAACATAAATGGTGAAAATGGGTACAGTGTGCACCTCTGCCTACGAGGATAGAAGGCGTGATGTTGTTATGTTATTAGTACATACTTTTGTACCAAAGGTTGTTGATATCAATAAAAGTATTAGTAGTATGACACATATTTAATTATCTGTTTAAATCTGACTACTCCCGCTGCTTATAGTATGATGTTGTTTTCCTTATTAGAAAAACAGACACGAATTCAAAGTCATATAGTTTTCAAATTACAAGAGTTATCCACGAAAAATTACACCCTGTACCTGTCTTTTATCTGTTGGCGCTACAATTCGTCATTTCTTCGTCTGTGTTGTTGCTTACGTTATTCTGAATAGTGATTCAATTTTATAAAATCATATATTTATAGCTAACAACTTTTGTATGGAAAAGAATGTGATTTTTTTGACGAAAGAAGTATTCTCAATAAATTTTTATTGTGATTATGAGTTACTGTACTTAAAAAATATGTACTGTGCTAGCAGTGGCAAATTTTACCAAAATTTACGCATTTAATAAGCATTCTAAAATTGTATACTACTCTCTAGATTATTAATTAAATTCGACACAAAAAATATTTTTCAACGACTCACCAGGATCACCTGATGGTAAGCAATCGGCGTCGCCCACGGACACCTGGAACACCAGAGGCGTTACAAGTGCGTTACCGGTATTTTGGGGATTAGGAGTTTGAGGATCGTTGGGGATTCAGGGATTGGAGAGATTGGGGAAGGGGAAGGTAATTGAGCCTCCGGTAACCTCAATCACACGACGAAACACAACGCCAGCGTTGTTTCACGTTGGTTTTCTGTGAAGCCGTGGTGGTATCACTCCGGTCGAGCCGGCCCATTCGTGCCGAAGCATGGCTCTCCCACACTTATGATATTTCTTTTGTTGATCCTAGAACTTATAATTTATTCACGTAAAAGTAATTAGTTAAAAGTTTTTCTCAATCAATACATGGACTTTACTCTCATTGAGTAAAATTAATCTTTCATGTCATTAGTTGTTTTAGAATAGAACGAAATAATGTCTAACATTTTTATGTATTATAATATTGGAAGATTACAATAACTAGTCTAGTTATACTAGTCTAGACGTGTGTCATGTCCCAGTTAATGTTCAGGAGCGTACACGTTTCAAACGAACCTCGAATTCAGGAATTTATGTACCAAATGTTCAAGTTTGGGTTGCAAACTGTGCACTCTGTACAAAATTTAAAGAACATTTCAACATTATAAACGATCTTGAGGATCGTTGGGGATTTAGGGATTGAGGAGATTGGGGAAGGGGAGGGTAATTGGGCCTCCGGTAACCTCACTCACACGACGAAACACAACGCAAGCGTTGCTTTACGTCGGTTTTCTGTGAGGCCGTGGGTGGTATCACTCCCGTCGAGCCGGCCCATTCGTGCCGAAGCATGACTCTCCCACACTTAATAAACAAAACTTGAAACATTGACTGCACGGTTGGTGCGGTGGCTGGGCTGCCGCGCAACGTGTAGCGGGTTCGATTCCCTCACGGAACAACTGAGTGTTGTGATCCACAAATTGTTGTTACTGGTCTGGGTGTCATGTGCATGTGAATGTAACCACAGAAGAAAATCCTAGTGTGGGACATAGTTTTTTTTTAAATAAAAAAAACTATATATTCTGCTGTGCCTAGTTTGGGGCCCACAGATACTTCAATCTCGTTTTTGTTTATGTAAACACTGCTTGCTTCCATGTCTGCATATAATGTAACTTGTCTATGCAATTCCGTTGAAGATAAGATCTGATAAGAGAATTAATTAATCCTATCATTCTTCGAGTTCGTTTCTTACTGTAAAATCAATTTTATTTCTAATTACATTTCATGCGAATTATCAATCTAAAATGCCACTTGTGGACGAAATGTTTTTCAGATATGTGTATATGGATAACGTGGTTTATTATATATTTATTTTTGTAATATTTAGCTCGGGTAAGTAATATAATCACAAATTATATGTCCTCCTTCACGGTTGGTCACATCACACACATCAACAGCCTATAAATGCCCACTGCTGACCAAAGGCCTCTTCTCACACGGAGAAGGTTTTTTAAACTTATAATTAGAATTATAAGCTCAGTTTTCCTCACGATGTTTTCGTTCACCGTTCGTCAGTGGTGTCTAAATACTCTTAGAAAGTACATATAACTCGGAAATAGTCACATTGGTACTTGCCGTTGGTAGGTTTGAATTAATTCATAATTTTATTAAATTTTCGATGCAATAAAAGTATAGGGGTGCAAACTTTGACAGATTTTAGTCGGTTCGATCACTGTGTGAGGCAAGCAAATTTTTGAAAATCTTTGAATTCAGTTTTGTTTACATAACATAATATCACGCCTTTTATCCTCGAAGGGGTAGGCAGAGATGCACATTATACCACTGTACAATGTAACACCCACTTTTCACTATTTATGTTATGAGTCCCATGTAATAGTGAGCCTATTGCAATATACCGGGCACATTTCCAGACTCCGTGCTACTATTGACATTTTTAAAAACCCAGTAATACTTTGCCTGACACGGGAATCGAACCCGAGACCCCTTGCCCGGCAGTCGCACTTGCGACCACTCGGCTAACGAGGCAGTCGTTAGACAATACCCAAAACGTTCCGTACAAACCTTATTCGAATTCGATGTTTGTCATTGATATATTGGTTTCTCTCTTTTCTTTTTCGCTCGAAACCCTTCATTTTATTGCATCACTGTTTCCGAATTTCACAACATCGGGTTTTTTTTTAAGTACACAATATCGATTCCAGAATGAATTAAATAATAGTGATTTTCAGTGACTGCTGATACCATAACTTTACGAAGGTCAAACTATGACGGTGTGTGTGCGTCAATACTTGTACAGAGCAATTGCCAAATAAAATGTGGTCTCAACTACGGGTGTTGGTTGGGACGCTGCATATGTTTCAAGGGATATACCAATACGACTGAATCAGAAAATGGTAAGTTTTAACTACTTGAAGACTTGAACCGATTGATTTCATTGATTTCGCAATAGGTAAGTGATAATCTGACTCGGATTGGTTTCCCATACGAAACAATTCTTTATTCCAAATCTGGGTGTGAATTTTATGTGAAATATACGTGTGTCCACGATGGACAGAAATGGGTACATATCAAAATACTTAATGACAAATAACTTACGTTTGAAACCCTTGCATTTAAAATACATATTGTTTTAAATACCTACATTCGAAATCCCTTAATTTCAAAATATGTTATGTTTAAAATACCGATTGGATTAAATACTTAATGTTTGAAATATGGACTAGACTAAATTCTGTCATTCATTGATCATTTGTCATTCATCATTTAAGATACCATTTAAATTTTTCCTGCGACTTCGTCCGCGTTGAATAACTTCTTCTGGCATATATTAATTTATTATGAATTTAAGAATTAGTTTATTATGAATTTAATTTATTTCCGTGGTTTTAGCGTTTTTCTATGTCTTTTATCGGGTCAATCAAATAGGTATTGTCGTTTAGAAGATTGATGGACGTACAATTTTTACGCATAGTTCCTGTTCTCGTGAGATTTTCGGAATGAAAACTATAATACGTCCTTCCCCGGGTTTCAAACTATGTTGTATGTATGTATTGTTCCGAATTTCAATCAAATAGGTTCAATGGTTTAAGAAATAGACAGTCACGGGATTTTAACGCATAGTTCCCGTTCTGCTGAGATATCTGGAACTGAGCGTAGCGAGCGGTGCCGAGCACTGCATCATTTGGCCGCTTATCAAAGCTCTTTAATATAAACGATATGAAAATATTTGAAATAATATGCCGCCGGCACTGCCGCGGCACCAATAGCTCGTTGAGGGTTCTAACATAACAAAATCAACTGTGCCAGGGTTCCCAAATTATGACTCTAGGGGTCGAATATCACTGCGTGGCAATTATCACACATGTCCATTTCAAACTTAGTTTAGGTATTTCGATAACCTTCCAATATTTTGAATGAACGTAAGCTATCTCTCATTAGGTATTTCGATTTTCTGTATTTTGATACGTACCACACAAAATATCCCGGACTGAGAGCTAAATTATTTCGTAAAATATCTATCAGTCACGATTTAACAGCAACATTCACTGAGCTGTGTAACAGATGAAACTAATGGGTAATTAATTTCATTAAATATTATAAAAAATGGGCTGCCTGATAAAAAAAATCCGGATAAAAAAGACGTTTACCTTTTAACTATCTAACTTGTTAAATAAAACTACACATTTGCGTTCCTATCACAGACTAAAAAATAATTGTTGAAAAAGAAAGGAAAATGTCATATTGCACAAATAACTGACATAGCCTACGCTAGATGTCGCTACGGGTTTCACATTACGTGACTTACAGTATTTTTGATATAAAAATGAATGCATTGTAGTTATATTTATTTTAAAAAAATAACATTTATAGTAAGTGCAGTTTCTAATAATAATAATGAAATCATCAGTCACCCCTGCCTGTTTTCGTATGTACCTATCAATCTTAGTCAGGGGTAGGGGCCATAATATTTCATAGGTACCCAGATAGCTATTTTATAACCATTTTCTTTTTGCCATAATATCCCATAATATAGACCTGCATTAATTGGACATCATTAGGTGCATTCCCATCTTTTTAAGACACAAAACGCTTTGCACCCTGCAGCCGTTAGCTCAACCGCAACATGGCAGTAGGTCGCGCGGCGGCGTTGCAGCAGCAGGCCCCGGAGAAGACAATGGGAACGTGGATGACGCGAAATGGCAAGGGCTCTGCTTTTACGGTACTCCACCACGAGTACAGCTGCAGGTTTTAGACCTGTCATGTGTTATACTTCATAAGACGGACACGTTCATATTATGTGTTTAATATGTTTACAGTGCCTCTTTCCAGTCGGTGATCACTCCCGATGTTAAGCTTAGTGATCACGGTGACATCTCTAATCATTTGCCCTTTGTTATAACCACTAACAAAATAAATTTAAAAAAATGATTATACGTTGTATGTTTCATTTGTGATTTAACCAAAATGTTCAATTTGTATCTTAATATGATATAATAATATCGTTTATTTCTCAGTATATGGTACACACAGATCTTAACAATACTGCAGTTTCACATACACAACCGTCTCCGGTGTAGAAATAATTATAATAGTATTACATTTCATATTTTACCAAAAACACTGATTCTATAATATAGTACTATCTAGTTTATTTAAATATCTGGACCACCTACTTTATAATATAAAATGTCATTGATTTTTATAAAATTAAATGTTGATAGATAAAAGTCATAAGTAATTATGTAGGTAGTTCAGTAGTCACAATGTAAGATGTCAAGGAATTCAATTATTAGATACAATCGTCATAATAATACAATAATAAAATGTCGAAATACAACACAATTCATAAACAAGTCAAGTAAGTACCTACATACTGTAATTTATAAAAGTCTAATTACTTTATTATTTTCATGACTTATCCTCTAAGTATTCTCTAACACTGTAATATTTTAACACTGTGATATTAACATTGAGGCATGCTAAAAGGTTGACTAGAGATTAAGTAAATAAATATGTCAGAATAACGGAAATAAATTTTAGGAGGATTTGTTGACTACTAACTGAAATCTAGTAAACAGTAGCTTGGGCAAACTAGGGATAAAAATACTGATGCATTAAATAGTGAATGAATTGTAAATTGGTAATCTCAGTAATAATAGTTAATTTAATTGTTTTTTACTTTGTTTTTAATTAGTAATATGTTTTTTTAAATTGTCTTTTTACATTATACAAAGGATTTTTACATTATTACACATTACACGTGAATGCTCCCGGTGCGGGAGCACCTTTACCTCTATATTTCTTATTATACTAGCTTTTACCCGCGGTTTCACTCGCGTCACAAAAGGATAAAAAGTAGCCTATGTGACATATACCAATACACACAGCGCCATCTATACCAATATTTTTGTTATCCCTCGGGAATATGAAATTTTTCCGGGATAAAAAGTACCTTATTATTTAATCCAGACTTCTAACTTTACGTCTGCAAAAATTCAAAGCAAGCGGTTTAGTAGTTACGGCGTGAAAGCGGAACAAACAAACAAACTCACTTTCCAATTTATAATGTTAGTAAGGATTTTATACTAATATATGAATCTGAAGAGTTTATTTGTTTGTTTAAACGCACTAATTCTGGAATTACTGGTCCAATTACATTTTTTTTGTGTTAGATAGTGCCATAGATTTATAAATATAACATAGATGTCTGGCTATTGTCTACGGGTAGAATTTAAGATCCATCTTGACGGTAAATTCATAAACATACTGTTGTTTCTTTTTTACTTATGTCTCTTTGCTTTTGCAGAAAGAGACAACACATTATTGTCATTCTGGCCATAATTTTTTGACGTCATCAGAAAAACCTAGTTGTGCCGAATTGGCCATCTTAGTCCCTGTTATCAGTGCATGTCAGTGGTACATCAGCTGTCAAAGCATTGGTCAACAATATTTTGTTACGAAAATTTGTAGAATTCCTGTTGTTTTTGTGCGTGGTAAACAAAGAAATTATTGGTTAGTGAGAAGAACTATGCCCGGGTGCAGTGTTATTGGATGTAGCACTAAAAATATTACTAAACCGGCAGGTGTAACATTACATCGGTAAGTACTGTTATTTTTCATTAAAATATCTCTGTTTTTCAAACTATTCAAGTGTGGTTGCTGCAAATTGACTAAATACAATACTTTTCTAACTAATGCAGTGCTTATTTTCATTAATTTTAGTTGAAATACGTCTAAAACAATTTTCATTAAAAAATAGTGATGTACATGATTGTTCCCGTATCGATAATTTTATCGTACATAATAAATGCGTCAAAAGTAGAACAAAGAACTATACTAAATTCTGAATGATAAAGTGCATTAATTTGACATAATGACAAAATACAAAAAACATTAAGTAGGTACAGTATCTATATAATCTATAGAAAAATCTATGTTCAATTGGATCAAGTAAGTTAAATTATACTATTTATGTTGCAGCCTCTAGCCAGATATGTGCATGAAAATGAACTTGGAACCAGTTCTGGAGTCTTCTCGAAAGATGGTTTTGCAGATTACATTACAGGGTAGTAGTGTCTCTACGACGTCGTAGTGTTTCTACGAAAAATACGAAGATATTGTATATTATAAATCTTGATTTTATGAATACTTTGATACAGTTTTATTTGTCAACCCTCAAAAATTACTTAACCTTAAGTATATAAATATTGACCAGTTGATGGAAAATCCTTTTCATGAATTTCGATACATAAGTATCGTGAAAGTTATGATGTGAATGTATAGGCACGATCGACTGGAGTGACAGTGCACGCAGCAACTACTAAATATATTTCGCTAATATGTTGGTAATGTTTAGCAGCTAAATAAAAATTAAATCCAGATGAATCATAAAATAATGATATTTTATTGATAAGTCAATTAAAACCAATTCTAAAATATCGATATTTCTAGTTTTAAAAGTTACATCCCTAGTTCTATCCGCCATGACAGGTGACCAAGTGAAGTTTATGTAGGCACGATTTTTTCCTAGTTGTTTCTTATCCATACTCTTATCATATCAGTGGATAGTGCAGTATTGAAAAGAGTAGATAACCATAGAGATTCTTGATCGTTCTTCTCCATTCGAAACTACACTTAAAAACAAGCACCTAGCTTCACTGGTAATTGAATTTGACGTTTCAAATGTGTCTAATTGACAATTATTTGATAAAACTGCTATGACTTTGACAGATATTTAGATTAAGTGAAATCGGTACAGCGATAGTTTGAGACCTAGGTAAAAAAGATTTCTGTTAGTTTTTATCTCGGAAATCCCCCAAGAACGGGAACTATGCATTGAGCCCCGAGACTCTGTAGATGCAAATGTAATTTTAGTGAGATTCGGTACAATGATAGTTTGAGACCCGAGAAAGGACATAGTTTTCAATACTGAATCTTTACGGGAAGGGGCCCTGTAGATATTTATATTTTGAAACCACGAAAATAATTAATTTCACAATAAATAACTAACTTGGGTACTAAATCGATTCAACCGTAGAATATATACATTGGGAATGACTGACTGAATGACTGATTCAAACATCCAAATTCTGCAAAAAGTCATTGTTCTACGCGGCCGAAGGCGCGGGTAACAGCTAGTTATAGTAAGTAATATTATAATATCACAATGAAATTGCGGAGCTACTTGTTATCTAAGCCGGAGTTACCAGCCATTTTTGCTACGTAGCCATTTTGAAATCAATTAGTAATTTTATTTCATTTAATTAATTTTAATTGCTGTACTTTCATATCAAAGTCACTGTGAAATCAATTAGTAATTTAATTTCATGCGAATTATCAATCAGAAGTGTCATTTGTAGACAAAATGGCTTTCGAATACGTGCAAATGGATAACGTGGTGAACTGTATATTTCTTTTTGTATTATTTAGCTCAGGTAAGTAGTACATGAAGCCTCTTTCAATTTTGTCTAAGTTACATAGATTTTAGATCATATATATTTTCCTTCCTATAAGATATGTAACTACTAAAATTATTCAAATTCAATAAATTATAATGACTCTGAAGGTGATGCGAAACCTGCATTCGTTTTTTTGATGTAGTTACTTTCAAAGTAGCTTGTTCACATAGGAAAAGTCCGGTCAAAATACACATGTTGACCTAGAAATAAATTCGCGTATGATGCATACGACTCGATCCCAAGGTTAAGCTATGTTTGCCGACGTTATTCTTTGGATGGGTGGCAATTTGTTAAAACCGCTTTCTAAGTAGGTACTCGTAAGTGTAAACAATGAGTTTTAGAATGTTTATCTTACAATTATATTAGGTGAGTTCCGATCATTATTTCCTTAGCTAAGTAACACTTAGCAACATTATAGGCACTATAACTCAAACCACTGACTTTTGACCATAAATGGTATCTATACAAAGATTTATTCTGCATTAGAATACCTATCTATAGAGGGGTATGTTATTTCTATGAAAGCGTGAGCCCAACATTACGCATTTTTTAAGGGGGGAAAATCATCGAATGACTTCTCCCACCCAGCTGAGGCGGGAGGGAGTGTCAGTCTCTTACTGACTAAAAACCACCCAGTTCCTACTCCTGCCCTTCGAGCCGGAGCTCTGGTAACTTGTTGAGTCTTTCGCAGCAACATTACCCATTGTTATTTAGTCTTGACATAAATCAATAAAAATATACACTGATTTATCTACTAGCAGCCACTTCCACGTGGGTGAAATCGCTCTCCTCAGAATCTATTTATCTTTAGCGTGATGTTTTCTAGCCTTATATATATCCTTTCTCGATAAGTGGACAATCCAATACAAAAATAATTTATCAAATCGGACCAGTAGCTTCTGGAATTAGCGGGTTTAAAAAAATCAAACTAAATTGAATGATTACACGTTCTACTTATGTTAAATTTGTGATTTACTCAAAATTTCAGTTACCACAACGAGTATAGCAGAGGAGACGACAATGACGACAGAAAGAACAGTAGCAGAAAAGAGTATGTACCTATAATAAATATTAATAATAAAGTCCTATATTCTGAATTATTAGGTACATTATGAGTTAAGTCGTGGTGGCCCGGAGGTTTAAGACGCCCACTTCTCATGCATGAGGGTGCGGGTTCGAAACCTACCAACGGCAAGTACCAATGTGACTTTTTCCGAGTTATATGTACTTTCTAAGATTATTTAGACACCACTGACAAACGGTGAAGGAAAAACATCGTGAGGAAACCTGGACTTATAATTTCTAATTATATGTTTGAAATCGCCAACCCGCATTGAGCAAGCGTGGTGATTAACGCTCTAACCTTCTCCGTGTGAGAAGAGGCTTTGCTCAGCAGTGGGCATTTATAAGCTGTTGATGGATGGATGATGGAGTTAACTAAAAGGTATATCTCTTAATTCATTTGCCTTTTGGCAAAGGCCTCCTCTAACTGTCTCTATTGAATTTTGTCGCGGGCCTCTACTCTCTAGTTGGGGCCTGCTTAGTTTAGTTCGTCTTCCCATCATGTAACTGTTTTCCCGAGTTGGGCAAAGTACTACTGGGATTTGGAGAAGATTGGGAGTCTGGAATTGTGCCCGGTATATGGCAATAGGCCCCTATTACATGGGACTCATAACATAAATAGTGAAAAGTGGGTGTTACATTGTACAGTGGCATTAAGTGCCGTAATGTGCACCTCTACCTACCCCCCCTTTAAGGCGTGATGTTATGTTAATTTTTTTTACATTTCAGCTAACAGCACGAGTAGAGTAAATGTTACAACAGAAAACAGTAAAAAAGGATACGATGCACCAATAAGCAGTGAGTTCAACCAATGATTCAACAACTTCTTTTTACCCGACTGAGGGCTGATTTTGCCAACTTTGAAAAGTTGGAAATTCTATTATACTGAAAACTGTCAAAAATTATAATTTCTTTATAACATAACATCACGCCTTTTTATCCCCGAAGGGGTAGGCAGAGGTGCACATTTCGACACTTAATGACAATGTAACACCCACTTTTCACTATTTATGATATAAGTCCCATGTAATAGGGGGTGAGCCTATTGCCATATACCGGGCGCATTTCCAGACTCCGTGCTACTACTGAGATTTAAAAAAAAAACCAGTAATACTTTGCCCGACCCAGGAATCGAACCCGAGACCCCTAGCCCGGCAGTCGCACTTGCGACCACGCGGCCAACGAGGCAGTCTTTTTAAAAAAAAATTACTGACGGTTGGAAAATCGGCCCTGAAAGAAGAAAATAAATTCACCTAAATATAATAACAAAGATTAACCTGATTGTTCATTGTTTTCAGGGTTAGTCCAGGAATTGAATGATACTGATATATTACCAATGAACATGAACATGTCGGCAGGAAAACCAGCGCTGAGGCACCATGTTGCACATTTTTGCCCTAATCTAGATGTGGCGAGAGTTTGTATTAGAAAATGTATGACATATGGCGCGCCAGCATTTTGTGGCAAAGACCATATATGCTATTGCGGACATCGTTATGAAGATTTCGATAATTCAAATGAAATTAATACCACAATAGACCCAGATGAAAACCCTTATAAGGATCTCTATGAGCGTTATTTTGGAATAAAGACAACATCAACAACAACACAGACACCAGCAAGTACGACAACAACAACAACAACGACAACAACACCATCAACAACAACGGAAGACATGCGGGCACTAGGTACAGATGTCGGCTCGTACAGATTTTATAGTTTATTGTTTTTGTATTA